GTGGCTACAAATAGGATGGGTGTTGTATTATTCTGATCTTATTAAGCATGCGAAGCAGCACGAGCAAATGCTCCTATTCAGGTTTTTTTTTTTGTTTCTGTTTTTTGTGTTTTCAGAATTGAGTCTATATTTGAACTGGGAAATATTGGAAAATGAATTACTAGGAAGGCTCCACAAGAGCGTTTGTCAATGACAATACGGGCTTCTTTCCATTGTCTGTACAGTAGACAGTTTGTCCTTTGAGGTCACCTGGTAGTATCAGTTGGTTGTATGATCTTTGTTTCTTTCAATTAAGAACGTATTTCCTGAATTGGTTATCTGCATATATTTCTTGTATTTGCTGTATCTATGTTTGGACAACAGTCGTCTCAGCTCTGTCTTTTTGGAGGCAAATCAATAAATAATTCGGCAATTATACTGTGGAAATTAATTATGCATTATCCTTTGATTCATGTCGTCCAAGTTAACTGGTAGAGAATTTCTGAGTTCGAGAAAAACAAGCTATAGCAGACTGACGCTGCTCTGCTCTGCTACAGACTGGTGTTGCAACTAAAGTGATGATCTAAAAGGTCTTATATTAGTTTACAGAGTGAGTAGTATCTAAGCGTAAGATGGGATGTTGATTGTGTGTGATATGACGTACAGCTCAAAAATTCCCTATATTAGTTGTTGGCATGTTATACAGTAACCATTAATCTCACCTCTTTGTTCTACTATATGTGTCAGCCAATCAGTTAAAGTCTTTTATAAACGCTAGCCTAGTACTCCTATATAGCAATCTTCTTGTGGGAGTTGAAGAGAATAAATCCTACTGCTACAGAAAGGATATGATCGATTAAAGTTGAAGCAAGTGGGAGCGGGTGACGGTGGCGTTGTGTTTGCAGTCTATATGTTTTGCGCAACGGCAAAGCCACCCAATGCAGATGCGTTCCATACGCTTATACACAAATGCATTCTGATCCATTCTGAGCAACCCAGGAAACCGACTCTTGACAAAATAAACTCATGAAATGGGTGTAGAAATCTGGCCCCTACAAGCTGCTACAGCAAACTTGCTGATTTTTTTTTCTTTACTGGGCAGAGAAATGGAAGAGACTAGATAAGAAAGACAACACAAGTAAAAGCCACAAAGCAACATAAACTACAGTAGAAGGGGAAAGATCATGAACAGGCAGATGCAGATGCAGTGCTCAGGCATGGCAGACACAACATGTCTTATAGACTGTGTTCCTTTTACTTGAAGAAGAAAACATGGTCAGTAAAGCCAATGTGGCACAAAAAAAGAAGAGAAGAGTTTCACGCCGCACGACAGCACACATTTATAGGTTAGCAAGTTCTACAATTGTTACGTGCAAGTAATATAATTACTGTAAACATCACAGTTTTGTTTCTGAATTCTATTAACAGATCAATGTGCTATATGGACTAAGCATTGGAGGTTACAAGCAGAAACAGGACACACAGTACTTGTAGGTTTCATCAACGAGTGAGCACAGACTACTTTAGTGATAACAATTTAAGCTGGGAATGCATAGTACATGAGTTATTTCCAATATATACAGAATTTCAAACAACAGAGTAGTAAAAACTGGACAGAAATAACAGAGAAGTAACAGCTGGACATAATACACAACAACACTCATACAACTAAAGGTTAGCATGTTTCCTCAAACTGTAAACATCACAATGTTCTTGCCGAAAAAGGGTTCCCCCCGCTTTGTATACAAAGCAACCAACCGAACCATACATGGATAGGTGCTGGGGCGGAAGCAGCACAGTCACGCCCAAAAGAAACAACAGAGAAAAGCAAAAGAAACGAATGCCGACAACGGCGGATCAACAAAAATGAAGAAGCCTCGCGATCGCAGCACCCACCAAGATCTTCCACTAGACTCCTAGACTCCGAAGCGCCGGCACCTATCAACACCTCCAAGAAGGATCGCGACGATGACGACGCTGCTGCCAAGGGTTTCCCCCGGTACACGACGAGGCGAGAGGAAGGGTAGCCCCGACGCCCTCCCGGAAGGTCAGGTGGTACCCACATGCGCCACCGCGCCGGTGTTGGCCATGCCGATAGGGGTTTCCCCCGATCCCAACCCGCACTTCGGGCGCCCCGGAGCCTGCCACCAAACAAACCACCATCGTGCGCCAACGCGGTCATGAGGCCCCCACGCCGTCTCACCACGGCACCGCGAAGTGAGGATAGCACGGCGAAGAGTCAGAGCCAGGACTAGGGCATCAGCACCATCGGCACGCGGGAGGGCCCCACCTCCACCGTCTGAACACAATAGCGGGAGCACACCAGGCCCATGGGCCCACAGGCCCGGCCGAGCCCTCGTGGGCCCGCAAAGCTCCCGCCTTCGCGCTGCTGGCGGCATGCCGGCGGTGCCGCCTGCCCAAATCCGAGCCGCTCTTCCTCCACACCACGCCGCAGACAACGAGGCCACGCCCAGGGACCGGCTCGCTAGGACCCAGATGGGGCCCTAAGGGCCCAGATCTGGGCCGAGGACGCGCCGCCGGCCACCCTGCGCAACAAGGCCGCCCCGCCGCCAAAGGGCGGCGCCACCACCAGGCGCCTCCAGGCCGCCGGGCCGCCATCAGCCGAAGGGC